ATAATAGCCATGTAATCGGCTCACCACTTCCAACACACTTTGAACAGGGTTTAATTGGACTTAATTATGCTATGTTTACCTTCAGGAGGACAAATAGAAACACTATGACATGTTGCAACATGTGAACTCCATTGAATATTGCAGGCTCTCACTTGATAATAATAAAGAAATTACCCATTTATAGCAACAGCAAAGACAGGCAATGACTAAATCTGGCAAATTCACTATTTGGATTAGCGTTTGGGGGTTGTCTTTTGCTGTACTGAGCTGTTAAAACTGTATTGATTAAGCCTCGATTTTAAGAAAGTATAGTGGCTCTAAGGTTAGTCTAACATCCTCCATCAAACCACCTGACCACAGCCAGACAGGTTTGTATCAAATTACACCTCCATACAATACTCAATTGTGTTCACCACCACAATGATTAAACTACATTTTAATTACTGGGGTGTCTTTAAACCGGCTGATGCAACGCAAGCATGGTAACACCCTGGATGCAGACAACGTGGTACTGAGCATTAAAGAAACCGTAAATATAATTATTGTTACGTCAACTCGTGATTGTTGAGCATCAATGCATTAATTCGCACTTAAAATAGCTTTACTTACGGACAGAGTTAATTATAGTGGACGATGTTCAGCTGTCCATCTGTCAGGGACTGAAACACAAGCTATCTACGTGGCTCCGGTTTTAGCGTGCTGGAAATGATGCCTTCAAAGATCACAGGGACATCCTTGCTATAGCCTTTGTACGTGTGTACAATTGTATCGGAGCATATTGGTAGTTACATTATATTTACATTAGATGTAACGGTGATTTGTTAATATTGTGTTAAAGTTCAGAGGAAAATATTGTACCTGGGACTGTTTTACGAAAGGATATTGTATTGGATATATGGAATTCGAGGATTTGTGGGAGTCTTTGAACCTACGCTCATCCCACGCCTCGGTCGAGCGGCTGGACTCTCCGGCCAAAACAATGAATGAAAACACGGAGTGGAAACACGAAAACGTGTCGAGTCCTGTTCTTAGTTTTTAATGTAAAAATAATAGGTAAAAATACAACAACAAAACCCGACCGCGGACCCTTAACAGAAAAAACCCAATTGTTTACTCCGTTTTAATTTCCCGTTTACGCTTCTGACTCAACAGCTGCCCACTTAAATTACACATACTTTGAATAAAACAGAACATTTGTGTTTAACGCTCAGTTATAAACCTAATTGTTGTATTCTTCAACATAAAGAACAGAGGAGAAGAAGCACGTTGTGAGCTTTGTAAACATTAGAGCGCCAATACAACTGACCGACGATTGCATCAGTCCACTATGATGTACATTTAACAACAATGGCGGTCGTTACAAGACAACTCGGCTTGATAATACAATGTTTCATTTAACATTTATATGACGAAGGGTATTACCTTTAATATCTTCTGGCTGTTGGTGTTTAAAGACGCTGTTTCCGTGGTCGTTGATGAAATATCCCGCTCGGCTGAGGGTGTGTAGTTTTGATCCTACGGGAAGGGCGGGGTGTACACACACTGACGCAATTAGAAAACGGGCGGGGCTTTAGTTTCATGAATTAAAACCTTTATATATACAGTCATAAACACAGACGCAACAATACTCTGACATTTTAGGATAACAGCGCTGCTCTGGTCAATGTGTAGAGAGCAGAGCATACAAACTAAGAAAAGAGGAAAAGTAACAAGAGGGCTGTTTAGATACAGAAAATGAACATGGAGAGAGTGAGCGTGCTACCCCGTAGTAGAAAGCCCATATATGGAACCCCCCCCCCCCCCTGTGAGCTGCTATGTTTAGGCCGGCGACACTCCACACTATATCCGCTCGCTTTGTTCCACAGATTTAAAAAAAAAGGAGGGAAAACCAAACTATTTCTTTCATGTCCTTTTGCCCTCAGTGACCTGGGAGAGCATGAGGGTCAGTGGGGTTGATAAAACTATGTCATTTTTAGATATTTTGTGTCATACACTGACTGCAGCATCCTCATCTTGGCCTGTGTATGATGGAATTCGGTGACATCATGCATGTAAATGAGGGGTCCCCAAAATGCATTTAAATTACCACGTAGGCTGATGCAACAGCAACACTATGTGGCATCATTAAATAATAATGTCAACGAAAAGGTCAAGACTTTCTCTTTATTGCTTTTACACATGCTGAAAAAAAATTGGTAAAACATAACTTACAGCTGGGTTTTAAAGTATTATGACCTTATTTAGTGTGGAGTTACACATGTTACAGTTGCATAATAAACTTAATAGGTGTTTTTACTTTTAAAAACTCTTAACATACATATTTAGCCTTTTTCTTCTCCTTCAGAAACTTTAAGGTTGTCAGAAATAATTTTGTTCCCCACTATCTGACTATAACATATTATTATATTCTGTATATGCATGTTGACGCTAAACGTTGTTAAAAAATGTGTGGCTGCCATCACTCATGTAGGAACTAGGTTCATATTAAATTCAATTTATTTTTTACAATATGTCTTAATTAGTCACTTTTGTTCACATTTTATATTTGTACTGTGGGATATGATCCATAGAGCAAAAGTGTGTTCACCAAGGTCACATAAACTGAGTTTAAATCTTTTTGAAATATGTGTTTGTCAGAGACATTTTGACCTCTTCTACAAAACATAGTATATGTGAATCAAGATATAAATCATAATATTATATGATATTATGATACGAGACTCGTACTGCATATCCCTTAATACATTTCCAATACATAAAATCACCACAAAGCAACTGACACACAATAAAATGGACCTTTGGGGCAACTGTTTATCTCGGACCCCTGGTCAGACGGGAACACATCATTCCTACTGCCGCTCAGAGATTAATTTTAATTTACACCGCTGACTTCTTCTTGATTTAAGTCACTGTAGTTAATCTTTCTAATAAAGTTTGTACTGACAAGTAAAAACTAAAAAGAGAAATGTGGGGCCACTGCACAAGAAGAAGGTTCAGATTTATTTTTCTGTTCCTGGGAAAGGGTGCATTGTTTTTCATGCATTGAACAAGAACCAGACGTAACTTTAAAAAAACAAAAACAGGATTTGTGAATTTTATTTTCTCCCTCTCCTCCCATCACTTTCTGTCTGATGGTGCGTTAGTAGCCACTCGTCTCACCTTTTGTACTTGCCAAGTCACACTGCTTTGGGTTGCTCTTTCAATTTACTTCCACTTTATCAATCTAACCCAACTGGGTGTCTCTGCAAACACAAGCGTCATGGCTGCACACTGGGCTCCAGTGTTAGAAGCGCTAAAAAAACACGTCCTAATCTCCGCCTTGGCCTACTCTGCCCATCCTGTCTGCCACGGTCATTACTCTGGACAAGGCCAGCACATCAAAGCTCACCAGTTTGTAGATCACAGTTCTCCCTGATGAGAAAGTTCAGGAGCAGTGTGTGTATCCCAGGAAACATTTCTAATTAATTTATTCATTCTACTCATTCACACAGACTACATGTTTATGTCATCCCAAAAGGTGGTTTCTCACTTTTTATTTCCTGAATCTAGAGGGTCGTATGCTGTACAAATTGTAAAGATTTATGTTTTAGATTTTAAGGATGAATAAATAAGCCTGACTCACACCTCACACTGTTGTTTAGTAGTTTAGTGCAGTGCAGGCACTAATGAACTGTGTACACTTTTGTATTGTTCTTTTTTATTACAGTCATATCTTGGATCACCTGCTGGTCAAGGTCTACACACAATATCAGTATTCAGGGACTCCTTTAATCCACCTGTGGTCACAATATTTCTCCGACTCTTATTTCCTGAAGGCGAACAACAAGAAATAGATTAGAGGACTTTAAGATTCATGTTTAGTGAAACAAAAGACCTATTGTTGTCACTGAAGAGCTACAGTTTATATTCCTTGTTGCCACCTAAACTGTATTCCTTGTATTTACAGCACTGGGACTGTGCTCAGGTTAAATCTGTTTGTTTATAATATAACATGTTTATACTGTAATGCATTAATCTGGTTTAAAAGGGTGATTATTAATGACGTCTTAAAATGTTATGAAATTCAGTGACTAATTGAACACATTGGTGCTTTTAATAAATGGAAACAACACAAAAGAAGCCCCCTATCGTCAATGCAGAAATAAAATGTTAAAATATTTAGGTTTTCTTATGGACCTTATAAAAATTATTAACCGGAAAAAGGTAGGATAGTCTGACTTTTTTAAATAGAGGTTTTTTTTTTGCTGTGATCTAAGAAATGCTGTCTATCACATTCCAAGTATAGAGAAAAAGTAATTATGATTACAGAGCTGAAGCGGCCGTCTTCACATTAATACTGATAACTATATTAATATTGAACCTAGTGACATAGTGCTTTACAATATAAAAAAAGATTTTGTTCACAAATTATTTCTTAATAACTACATAAAGTAAGTGCTTTGATTTGGGTTTAATGTGTTCATTAACGTGTTTTACCATATGCAGACACAAACAGATCTGACACTGCATTAAGGTTTTATTAATGTGAGCTTTGTTGCAGCACATTACAAGTTTCATTGAGGTTTAAAATACATATTTTTTCAATTTTACACTTATATTATCAGGTTGTGGAGAGGGTCTGTGGAGGGTTAACTAATAGTGCTGGGAACGGCCTTGTGTTTTTACAAAGTGAAACATAACCCTATCTCACCGCACCATTTATTTTCATAAAGTCCATTACCTCCAAGTCCACCAGTAAGTGCTGAGGTTTGGCTGTTTAAAACAATATTTAAAATGTAGTAAAATCTTTATGTACAAGTTGTAAGAATCATGCAAAAAAAAAAGAAGTCTGTTTCCAACCTCTTCATGTTTTTTAAAATCATTTTATCTTAAATTAGGTTATCTGCCATTCATCCAGCTCCCATAACCCCCTCTTACTGCTTCTTAGTGTGACGCACTTATCACACATTGGAAGTTGAGTTTTGCTGATTATATTTCTCTTTAAACTGAAAAGACACATGTAGACATGAACCAGCAGGCAGCAGGAAATTTAATCGGTGGACAGAATTAACAAGGGAGTTCCTCGTAACCCATAGTGAAACTGCAATGATAACATGTATTAATACACCTCACAATAACATTGATAGAAAGAATAAACCAGCTGAAAATAAGCACAGAATAAGCCATATTTGAGATCAATAAACCAGATGCTGATTACGCCTTTAAACATGAATTATTGTTCATATAATGAACCTCTTGTCACAGTGCTTAGATATGGTTATTTACCTAACTTAACATTCCAAATAGCTGATTTGACAACACACAGCCGAAGTGTAGGCATGATGATGTAACTAAGACAGCAGAGTTAAAACAATAAATCATGAAACAATCCCGTCTAAAAGCATTTTCCGAACATTTGTATTGACTGGAATGAAACATAAATGTCTTTCGTGATGCTACATGTGGCTGGACTTTGGGAAGTTATCATCAAAATCACATCACTGCTAGCAAAAGAAGACATTAATCAAAGCAGGAAATTACCCTAATTTTAAACTTGATCAAATAAATGTAAAAGACACTCAGAGAACATAATAATCAATTGTAAAAAAAAAAGAAAAATCTAGCTATGACAAAAGGACATATGGAACATGTTTTCTTTTTCACTGGTACTGAATCAAAATATAATGTACATACTGTATGTGGAATGGCTTAATACAGACACAACATCAAATGATTTATACATTGGATCTCTTAGTTTTGTCCTGGAGCGATAGTTGTGTTTTTCCTACACCGTTGATACTTATCAGTTCTGACATTTCCACCAGCTTTATAATGACGTGCTGTCGTAATTAATGTACATGGGGCAGGTGCAGCAGTCTGTATTGTCTTTGCAGTAAGAGAGAGAAAGAGACAGATGTGAGAAATAATACAGAGACATGTTCAAGCTTTAAATGGATTTGGTCAATGCTTGACTAATGCAATGGCACGATATTATAACACTATTCACAGGAAATATCACGTCTGAAGAAACGGAAATTATAAGAGGAATGAATATCTGAATCGACAGGCTGAACATCGTGGTCAGAGGCATGTAAAAAGATTTGTCAGCGAAGTTGAGACATATTTTTGCAAGGAAAGCGTGCAAGTTTGCCATGCAGCCAATGATAACGGGTTGATAATGACAATGTATCAGAATTAGTTGGAGAAATGTTTCAAAAAGTACATTTTCTAGTGATGTACAGAACCTTTTCCTAGTAACTTGACATAACTCAAACTCCTGATACTGGTGGACTGAGAAACCTCTGCAAGCCAGTTTCTTATAATCATCTGATTAACTCCCGCAAACTAATTTCCAATTAAAAGTGTTCAGATTTCACAATATTTGTTCTCTACATGGCAGATAATGGGTAATGCCAAACTGGCTGACAGAGTGTTCCTCCCTTTGCAACACATCATGATCACGCTATAATTTCTTTGGGAAATGACTGGTTGAACATGGGTGGTACATTTACAAGTCAAAGTGACAGATTGTAGTCAGACATCTGTGATTGTTTATATATGATATGGCTGGGCTATATGAAGATAGTCAAATACCTTGATATTTTCGATCAAATATCTCGATATTGCAACAATATTGTAGGGTGGACTTTTGGTTAATTACATGAGTATTTTGATAAATAATCATGAGTTATATGGATATGACTAACTAGAACAGTCTGGTTAGTTCAAATGTCATCAATGTACTGTAATGCAGCTTTAAAAACAGGAAGATACAATGTATGCCATATTCTGATATCCAAAATGTAAGTGATATAAAGTCTCATTCAACGATAATGTTATGATATCGATATATAGCCCAGCCCTTATATGGCATTAGCATTAGTCTACTTAAGTATTTGTGAACTATCGCCTTTGGTCTTTAGAGTGCCCATGCAGCCACCTTTCAGAAAGCTCTTGGAGACCGGATCAAATAAAGCAGACTTACTTTATTCATACCTAGAAGAACAAAAAACAAAGAACAAAACAGGATCAGAACACTCATTTACAGTCTGCATTTATCCATATGGTAAACATCTATGGCGATTTTAGACATTATTTAATGACTCGCATTATATCACAACCTTGAGTATACAACACTCATAAGGGAAAGACTGAATGCATCAAACTTATATACTATATTATAATAATAGTGAGTAGTGCTTTTCTTTTTGTACACTTATGAAACAAATGCACAAGGGAGATATTGAGTGAGAGAGACAGAAAGTCAGAAAGAGATTAAAAGAGGAAAGAGAGGGAAGTGAAAGGTGAGTCCGATCTACACCCCAAAGGTTAACCCCCCCCCCAGTAACCCGGGTGACGTACTTTTCCAGGAATGTAGTTGCGGTCAATGCTTTCATCTTGCAGAAACATGTGCAGACAGCGCTCGTTCTGGGCCAAGGGGTGACCTGCAATTCTACAGAAACAAACACAAAGATGGACAGTGGATAAAATGGACTTGTTTTAATAGTTTTTCATTGAGGCTTGTAAAATGAAATTGTTTTTTGACTAGTTTAGTTATTTGACGCACAGACAGAGATTAGGTTAAGCCTTGTGTGGGGCTATACATTTATGGCAATGACTGACTCGACTGAATATGTGGTTTTCAGTTGAGAAAAACAACACTTTTGAGGCAAAAAGAAAAACTGCAGCTTTGACACAAGCTTTACAAGATTTAATAAAAAATGTACTGTTCCTTTATCACCAAATAAAAATCCAAAACTTTGGAACTTAACAGATAGTTTTTACTATGCAAACACACAAAATATGTATTAAAATGTATGGCTGAACCTGTTGATGAACTGCTCCAGGCCCGATCGCCGCTCCTCAATGAAGACCTCGTCAAAAAGGCCCTCATCTGCGCGGAATGGCAACTGTCTCTTCAGGGCTTTGCCCGGCAGAGATGGTACTACAATCTGAAGGAGAACAAATAACAGGAAAGACCACATTCATGAAATCCAAAGTCCACACTCATGTGCTGAACAGTCAAAACTCAATACATTGGCATCAATAAATTTGAGCTCCAGCAAGGCAATAAACGTATTTTGATTAGCAGTGCAAAGGCATAAACTAATTCAACACATTTAATTAGGAGAACATCACAAAACCTACCTTGTCATTAAAACAAAAGACGAAACCTACAGTGTTATCCTACTGTTTACTTTATGAAGTAATTACATTTTCCAAGCTGTAACACCAACAGTACCACTTATCAGATCATTTTAACTATTAGTTTGCTTAAACCAGTCTGCTGAAATGATTAGTCTGAAACACAACATTATATAATTACTCACTTACCTTACTGTCTCTTTCCAGCTCGTTCTTTAACCACTCAAAGTCACTGTATCTTCTTCTAACAGTGGAATCCTTCAGTTTGAAAATGGGGAGGTTTGTCTACACAGAGAAAAATAAATAAACAGCTCTAAATTAATTTAAAAAATCATTTTTTCAAAAACACGATCTTACTGAATGCTGAAGTCATTGTGGAGATGCCTTAAGGGGACAACAAAAAAATCACTCGATATAACCCTATTTTGACTAAACTAATGGTATGAAAGTCAACACTTAAGACTAGTATGCAGATAAATAGTTCTACCTCTACAGTAGCATCTACTGCTGTGTTGTTTGTCCTGATTATTTCCATTACACTGTAGTATAATGAGAGCTCTGACTATTTATTATACTGTAATACAAATTGTATTTTACCGAATGCATGTCATTTTCATAAGTTTCCCAGATCCCAGTGTGTGGTATTCAAACAACAGTCCAAGACCCAAAGATGTTCAGTTGTTAATCATTACATAAAGAAAGAGAAAAAGAGCCACTAATCTATTTTATGTTAGATTGTATTCTAAATTGTATTTGCCCTGCAATGAATAGACTTCTAAATGCAAAGTATTGTGTTAATGTGTTATTTACAATAATATTAGAAAGCCTGCCAAGCAAACCCGTTTCCCAGAACGCTCAAAAGTTTGGAGTTAGGTATAAAGGCAAATTGTGCATACAATAACCACCAATCTCTCCATGTTCCAGTGAGTAAAGATTCGGTGGCTTTTTTAGCATGACTCTCCTATGATTCACTGCCTGTAGACAGGGAGTAAGTAACGAAACAATGCTTTCCAGTTAAACTAACAGATCTGGTTAGTTTGCGTTTTTCTATGCAGCGTTTTGAAACAGCACTATTTGGATGAGCAATTTAACAAAAAAACATTAAACTAAGGAAACATCAGACAGCGTATTATACCTGCATTAACCTACGAATCTTGTGATGAGAACATTCAAGTGGTGAAGAAAGTCACGTGTTTACATTATGATCTGCAAACTCTCCCAGGAGCAAACCCGCAAAATAAGGATTTGTAGTTAAGCCAGAACTAGTACGTTTACGTTACAATTACGCAATTGCAATGTTGTCACCAGCTTCCTTAATTTTTTTTTTCTAAACGTATTTAACAGTGTCAGCTATTATCTTTTACAAGCTCAACATTCCCATCTACTAGTAAAGGTTAAACTTCCCAGTAGTATATAAAGTAATTCAAATAAACCACCAAATGCAACATTGAAGCGATAAACGCATTAATGTATCAATAATTATAACCAAAAAACAATAATGTGTCGTATTATTACTCAAGGTGTTACTTAAGTCTTATTTAAGAGTTGATTTCCCTTACATTTCCTATTATTAATCCAAATGTGCAAAGAAACGAAAGTACACGTTTGGCCTCTGAATTGTAGGGGGTAGAAGTATTAAGTGAATTCAAAAAGGCTCAGATAAAGTACCTACAAATTCTACTTCAGTACAGTACTTGAGTGAAGGTACTTTATGTATGTCTACCACAGCTTTTTGACAGTAGCATAAGTAGCTGTTAGCTGCATGCTGTCTGCTGGGACTCACACTATCGTAATAACCACATTACGTTTCAGTACGTAACGTTTACTAGCCACACACAGTTGGTTAAAATACATACAAATATGACGTTAACTCCAGTCAGTGTGCGGGCTTAAACATTGCTGCTTTAAATATGTACGCTGGAAGTCGTAGTTATGTTGAGGAAACTTCTAGATCCCAGCCCTGCTTACTACACTAAGTAGGCCACACAAAATCCCCGGTGCTTGAGTTTTACTGGAGCGCCATCTTGACCTACTCCAGGCTGCTACCGTCAACGTCACAGCCCGGTCCCTGCAGTTGACTCCAGTACAGCGGCTAAATATGCTAACTGGCTAGCAACAACACAGTAATTACCAGTTAGCTTAGCAAATAAAAGCTAACGCTGCTAAAAGGGTGTTTTTTTTCTTCTGATTTTTTCAACACCTACCCGCATGCGAACTTCGTAATTTGTGTAACGGTTACGTCCAACTCCGACGACTTGTGGATCATAAACGTCTATTTCCAGAAAATTGCTGGGGGGGCCGTAAGCATCCGTCAGGTCCTGGGGCTTGGAATTCAACCGGCGAGTGTCGGCCACCGAAGGGTCTGTCATTTTGTCGGGTTGTAGTTTTTGGACGACAAACGGCGGATCAAACCAACTAAATGCTCAGCAAAATCTTAAATCTCCTATGAAGACATAAATTGATAACACGTTAGCTGATCGATTCAGCTAGGGAAGTAGCTGACTTGTGTCTCTGTCTTGTTGCGGGGGCCAGCCGCCCTGCGCCCTACCCTTGTTGAATCTGAAAAATGCGTTGACTCAGTTCCGTAGCGTTACTGTGGGACACTGCACTCCCTCTAATGGACACAGAGATAACTGGACAGGCTCAGATTGACTAATCATTGCAGTTGGGAAATTAATGTCACAGTTCCTCAGACGTAAGGCATTTATATTTATTCATTATTAAATCAGGTTATGACAGAAAGGACTAAAATACAATCAGGTTACAACATGTCAAACCACATTGAAAAAGTACAATCAAAGCTATTAAGATTGGAAACATTTTAGGAATATAACACACAATACAAGACAAATATTTTAAGGGGCTGTGAGGCCACATTAGCTTGGAAAAAGGGCATCCCCCACCCTGATTTTGGGTATCATGCATGCACCCATCAGCATGTAGAGTGGTGTAAAGTCAATGAGTAGATTTACTCAAGTAGCCTACTGTATTTGTACAATTCTGAGGGACTAGTAGGCTACTTTTTTATTTGTTACTTTGTACTTCTACCTACTACAATTCACAGGTAAAAAGTTTACTTCCACTCCATTACATGTATTTAATTCCTTTAGTTACTTTGCAGATTTGGATTTGTGGAGTGACATATAATCAACACTCTTGTACTTAAGTACAATAATTGGTCCACGTATTCATTTTATTTTAAACCGAGGGTATAAGGCATAGCTTTGCTCCAAATGTATTTTTATGGCTGTGTGTCCCAAAGAGGGACATACATATCTAAGTTAATTGAAGTTTGGATTACATGATGATTCAAGCAATTAGGACTTATTATTACTCATATTTATGCAACACTACATACAAAAGGTTATATGTAAGAAAGATCTACACATATCAATACTAATCAAAGCCATTTTGCTTAACTTGATTAAGGCAAATGATTACAACTTCAGAAATAATATCTGACAGAAGCAAAAATAAAGAAGCCAGTGATTACACTTTTTTTATCATAATGTAAGTGCCCTGATGATGATGCTGATATACAATCTCATTCAATAATTGTATTGGGGCTTTTCCTTCTGCATCATTGAGGTTACATTCATTATGTCATCTTAAGCTGGGGTTTTGGATTGATGACAAAACATGATGAAACTAATTTCTGTTAAATATTTGTTTAAGGAACAACTAATAGGTGCAAAGGACTTTTTTGTTTTTCAACTGACAGCCATGCTTAAAGGTGGGTAGGTAAGTTTGAGAAACCGGCTCGAGATACACTTTTTGTTATATTCCATGGAATGCTCTTAACATCCCGATAGCAATGAATATCTTAAGTGCTTTGACAAAAAATCCATAAAAAAATGTCATCTGTGGAAGCCGTAATACTGTAAAAAGCACGACCAATCATTTTAGCCGGCCCGGCTAAAATAACTGGATGGCCTACCTGCCTGTCAGCCTTCCATCTGTGCACAAACTTATCTCGTGCCCTCATTGGTCATGTGCGCGTTCGTGTGTGTTGGAGGAGGGGCTCTATAAGGAAGTGGCAGATTTTCTCCGGTTGTGTATTTTCAAATTCTAGCGATATCGAGCCGGTTTCTCAAACTTACCTACCCTACCTTTAAATCAGTCGTTGTAAGGTATGAGAGGAAGTGGAAGTTTAAATATCCTTTTTTCTGATAGGAACTTCAATCTGTTCTCCTGGGGCAGAATATACAGACCACTGACAGAGAAAGAGAAAACGTTGTAATACAGTAAACTTTGGCACTGAGTTACTTACTGCACTTACTGCAAAGTAATATTATCAATTAAGTGGTTCAGAGTTTTTCATTTTGATCAAATAAACTAAAAGAATGAGTGACTGAATTTGAAATGTTTTTTTATATATGTAACTACTGCATCAGGTTTTTGGTATTCTTAAACATGTATACCTTTAATGGACCAGTTGATTATATGGGCTTCAAACTGATCTCTGTTCATCAGGGAAATCATGATTTCCATTTTGTGTCAGTAAAATACAATCAGAATTATAACGTTTTAAGAAACACAACCCTGACTGACATGCCTCCTAAACAGAATCCTGCTTCTCCTCCTCAGGTGAGACTGTGGAGGTGGAAGAGGAACAGGGAGTAGGCAGGTCACATTCGTTCACAGGGATGGAGACGGAGCAGTCAGTTTGGTCGGTGGTGCCGGAGCAGGTGGAGCAGTCAGAGCTCTCGCAGTCAGACTCAGGGACATGGCAGTACTCACGGACAGGACAGGGACGCTCATTGTCCTTAAAACTCTCTTTCAGGCCCTTGGGGAACTGAAACCAATCCTTTAAAAAAAACAAAAAAACATGTATGACTTTATTTTGCTGTCATCTATGTCTTATACATTTCCTTAAAAAATTGCAGTATTTTTGAGTTATTTCCAGCTGAATGAAAACATTGTGGTTTCAGTACAAATCATTTTTTGGCAGCAGAGAGTTTTTGATGCTACTAACCTCGACATTAGGAGGTAAGGATGGCTTGGGGACCACAGGGATCAAGATGATTCTGATTCTGTATGGAAGGGAGGCACATGTTTATCAGATGATCATATGAACTACTATAGTCTACATCACACATACATTGAAAGTACATTACATTACCAAATGTGAATTTCATTGCTATCGTCACTTTCATCTACTGTTGCTTTAAAGCTCAAAAATATCATTTTTTTCAAGATATCTTTGGGCCTTTTATCTGAGATATAGAGTGAAAGGGGGCGACAGAGAGGAGGACATTGACTGTAATGTTTGGCCAGCACGGCTTAACAGGGCCGCCAGATCTTACCACTGTCAACCGGCCCTATCTTCACACATTTTAGGTAACAGGGTGAGTTGTTGATATACAAATGCTCAGCCCAAGTATTCCTTCAAACAATTCAAATTTTAACATTAAAATACTCACATTAGAAACAGTTCATGTAAATATTGTTGATGATAATATAACAATGAATGAAGGAGGAAATATGTACCCATTGCTGAAACTATATGTAAAACACTATAAATAAAACATGACCCACCTTTCATGGTGTAGCAACATCATGACCAGTAGGATGAGGATGAAAGCACCCAACCCATACATCACTGGAGTCCACACAGACATCGAGCTGTTCATGTGAGGAGTGTCTGTGAGTTTGAGAAAGACAGGGGAAGATTGTTTCATTATACTGCACCTTTACTGTGTTGTTCACATGCAGAGCAACAGCTGCAGATAGTAGAAATCATCTTTGACGTTTAATCATGTCTGATTTGGTGAAAATGACACATGATTATAGAATTCAACGAGGAGTTTGCTCTGTCAGTTTACCCTGTACTGATTTGAAGGGAATAAGTCAGGTTTGTATTGCCCTATTGCCTACACTGGCCATCTTATATTGTAAATGTGATGATTTTAATGGCCTAGAATATCTATTACTGGCCCCTCAACTACAGCTCTGGCTTTGAAAACGAATTTCCCAACCTAGGAAAAACGTGTTAAAGCACAGAACCAATAGTAAAATAAAAATAAAAAGACCAAACATTCACCTAATTTGTCTTTGATTTGATTTATTTCTTATCAAATATAAACATTTAGAATATTCTGAATACTGGGCATGACAGGAATAAACATATTTTTCATGAATACTGACATATTGTATTTACAATAATTTGTAGTGATTGTAGACCCTTCTTTTTAAGACAGTTTATGGTTACCTGTAGCAGTGAGTGATTCCTTCATTCTTTCAGTACAGGCTACTGTAAGTGACTGGAAATAGGTCTAGACATTTGCAGTTTACCCGTGCTGCTGTTTTTGGAGCCCCAGAACACAGGCTCACTCCAGTCGCTCCAGAAAGAGTTTTGACTGCCTCCACAGTAGTTGTCCAATTTGCTCTGCACCTGCAGCTCATACAAGGCACTGGAGGGCAAGTTGATGCAGTAATTCTGAATCCCAGCCCTCACTGGATACGTCTGTGGACACAAAGATGGAGTTGATAAAGGAGACGGGTGGGGAAAAAACTAAAACGATTATGGAACAAAGGATCTTTCTTTAAAAATGCCTACCATCCACGCCTTGCTGTTGATCCTGTAGCGAACTTGACTCTCCACACAATGAGAAATCTGGGTCCAGTTGAGCCACAGGTTCGAGTCCAATCCATACCGGACAGTCACGTTGTAGGGAGGATTGAACTTGACTGGAGACAAAACAGACCATTCAAAGATACAGTACAATATGGCAACAAGGTAATGGGGCAAACATGAATCAAATATTTATTTTTTTTCTTTTTATTATTTTATGTCAAAATACTAGCATTTTCTTGAAAGAAAAAAGATACATTGAAGTTACAGTCGTGCTTCATTTTCAAATAATACTGCCTAAATAGTATCAGAGGATGAGCCCCAGTAAAAATGCTTACCTCTCTGTTTGAGAGCATGTTTCTTTTCATAACTGTCGTTTCCATGTACCAGTTTGGTGTAAAAGTCGTTGAACCTATCCCCGTTTTGTAAATAGGGCTGTTTGCATCCAGTGTTTATGCTGTTCTCTGAAAGATAGCTGGGGCACTCTCTGGGTGGTTTGTTGAACCTGTAAATAAATCACTATTTATACATTATCACATACAAATCAATGGATGGTGCTGATGTTTTTGTCTATAACTGTACATTCAGAAACCAGTGCCTGTACAGCAGATCATAAATAAATTACAATGTCAACTTTTTATATTTTACGTTAGTCCAAGATTTCACTCTTCTTTAGAGATTGATACATTGAGATAAAAAAAAGAAGGTGTTTGAGAGTGTCAGGGTCACTGTCAGTAATTACGAACCAGCTATAGAAGGTGTAATTGACCTCTGGAGTCCGGTTCTTATTCCAGGAACAGTGAATATATTTCAGATGCAACACTAAACAATCCACATCTGTCAGAGAAACAAGAAGGTTGAGATAAGTAGAACATAGATTAATGAAGATAATAAAGCAAAAACACAACAGCACACCACACACACACCACACACACACACACACACACACCACACACACACACACACACCACACACACACACACACACACACACCACACACACACACACACACACACACACACACACACACACACACACACACACACACACACACACACACACACACACACTTTCACACACACACACACACACACACACACACACACACACGCACACACACACACACACACACAGGAAATGGTGACAGAGCGTAATAGGGACTTTACAAAGAATACACTAAGTAAGGGCTTTTACCGTTAACCACCAGGCTGTTTGATTAAGATTTGGTTAAAGGAGTTGATTATGTTAAATTATTATTAACATCTAACGGTAATCATATTTCAAGTCAGTTCTGCTGTCCTTGCCTTTTAATCTGGATTCTATTTTTAGAAAAAGTTATATAAAAAGACTAATATATTTGTTTATATGTATTATTAACAAATACTTTATATATAAAAATGAATGAACAAGAAAAGTAGCTTCACTTCATGATAGTTGGAGGAAAACTTAGATTAGATCTGATAAAAGCCCTGATACACTCATTCAAATCTGGCTAAAACTGTTACAATTTCTTTCACAATTCAACTTAAAATGTAAAATATACATTTGAAATGTTCTTACCAGGCGGTTCTTTGGCAAACACATGTCCCGTCAGACAGAGAAACAGAAGCAGTCTCGTCGCCATCATGTCAAACAGAAACAGGATGCTCTCAGGATCTGCGCAGATCTACTTCTCAGTCTCGATATGTGGCAAATGTTATTTCTCCTTCTGCTGTTTCTGATCTCTCTGTGTGGGTTTTGGTTCCTGTCACATGTTAGGTTACATATCAAGATATGCCTGTAATTAGGCCTTCTGCTGTATGGCTGTATTTTAATATACCCCACCATTTTTAAAACATGCTTTAACTCATAGAGTGATACATACTGTAGGTTATCCTAAGATAATGTTTGTCCTACAGTTCATAAATGTGCTAAAGGTGTTGCGTACAGACTCTTTTACAGTAACCTGCTGTTGGTCAGGCATGCAAGAAAATGGATGTGGAAGAGGAGCTGTTAAATACTGAGGACGAGGCAGAAATCTGAGAGATGGATGATTATTTCTTAGCTTGAACGGCATCGAATGTCACATTTTGAAGTCAGGATAAAATGTTGCTACAACACTTTTTGAGTCACAGGGTTTTTTCTCTGCTGTCATAATGCACATGCACATTTTTAAGCCGTGAAACATCCATACGTACAGAAAAGCCAAATCCATGTCCGTCATTTGTGATGTTTGTGGTTGTCGTGTGTCCGGTTTGAGTTTCTGATGAAATGTCGCTGTGGTTATCTTTTTAAGTATCTGAACAAGTGTGTCACATGTATGTTGTTTGTGACAGAATCAAATCAAATCAAAAATGTTTAACATGTTTTATTTATTCAAGTCAAACAGGTAACATTCACAATTTATCTGGGTATTACCATGACTGACATTTAAAGAACAATCTTTGTGCATGACAGGGTCACGTGTCATCAGATATGTGTCACTTTCGGTGAGTGCTATCCCAAAATGTAGAGTTCTGTGGTTTGGTTTCCTGTTAGAGGAAACTGTTTCAGAAATGTTTTTAAAACAGTATACATACATCTGAGTGTGTGCACAACAAGCAGACACATTGTTAAATCTTATTTATCTAGAAAAAAAATACATATTTACCTATATCTTAATAACCTGTATTACATGCTATGCAATTCTGGGACTAATTCTCTAAGAGGAAGGCTATCATCAGCTTATTAAAATGAACAGATAATTGTGAATTAGTTCATCCTGACAAAATGCATGAAACGCGCTTGTATATTTGGAGTGACAACATCTTGAATAGCAAACAAATTATGCAGAAATCTTACACAAAGTAATAACTGCATTGTGAATGGTAGTTTGTGATATTCACCCAACTACAAGTAGCGCAATTATAATTATTATTTAATGTATGCAATCAAGAACACGAAATCCCAACATCTGTGACCAACTTTTAACTAGACTCGATATGTGACGTTTTAGCAACAATCAGCTAATCTCAACTCATTTCCTGAGAATTTAAGAGGGTTTTTTTTTGCGTACATGTGGTAAAATACTGTGGTATCTTTGCTCTTTTACCGTTTTTCTTTTAATCCGAAAATGTATAGGTTTTTATTGCTTATCTTTGGTACGTTCTCTGTGTAGTCATTCATCAGTTGATAAAATTCAAGTTGTTAATGAAATACCGAAGATGGTGTAGTATATGGTCCACAAACTAATTTCATGTTAAAAAAACTACTCTGTCGAGAGTTCAACTTAGGGTATAAGGCATAGAATGCTATTCATTTCTTATTATAGCTGTGTGTCCCAAAGAGGGAGATACCTATCTAAGTTAAATGGATTTTTGATTACATGATGATCGAAGCAATTATGGGCCTTGATAATCATGGAAACACTACATGTACGTACAAAAGGTTATATATGAGAAAAATCCACACAAATATCAATACACATTAAAACCATGTTGCTACACTTGATTACTGTAAGTGCCCTGACGATGATGCTGATTTACAATCTCAACAGTCATTTTATTGGGGCCTTTCCTTCTGCTTCATTGAGGTTACATTCATTACATCATCTTAGTGAAGCTGTTTTTTTGGATTGATGACAAGACATGATGGGGTTTTTCATTTTTTGGAAGTTTTTCCTTGTACGATGTGAGGGTCTAAGGACAGAGGGTGTCGTATTGTGAGGGTCTAAGGACAGAGGGTGTCGTATTGTCATACTGATATTCTGTACAAACTGTGAAGTCCACTGAGACAAATGTAACATTTGTGATATTGGGCTATATAAATAAACATTGATTGATTGATGATGAAACTCAGTTGTGTAAAAATATTTGTCTCTCAAAAATAAATACTATGCTTAAGGAACAACTAATAGGTGCAAAGGACTTTTTTGTTTTTCAACTGACAGCCATGCTTTAATCAGTGGTTGTAAGGTATGAGAGGAAGTGGAAGTTTAAATGTCCTTTTTTCTGATTTGGAATAGGAACTTCAATCTGTTCTCCTGGGGCAGAGCATACAGACCACTGATAGAGAAAGACAAAACTTTGCAGTACAGTAAACATTGGCACCTCAAAGTGGTACTTTGCCAGAAGCATATTTTAAAGAGAAACTTACTGTATGTCACTAATAAAAAGTAACATATCAATGAAGTTATTCAGAGTTTGTAATTTGTTGTAAACAAACTAAAAAGGGATTTTATTATGTTCTTTTTACCTGTAACTACTGCATCAGGTTGTAGGTTTTCTTAAACATGTACAATTTTAATTGAGCCAATTGTTTCTAAGGGTTTCAAACTGAGTTCTCCTCATACAGGGAACCTTTTGTATCCATTTTGAGGAGACGTGTCAGTAAAATACAATCTGAATTATAAAGTTTTCAGAAACCCAACCCTGACTGACATGCCTCCTAAACAGAATCCTGCTTCTCCTCCTCAGGTGAGACTGTGGAGGTGGAAGAGGAACAGGAAGTAGGCAGGTCAGATTCGTTCACAGGGATGGAGACGGAGCAGTCGGTTTGATCGGTGGTGCCGGAGCAGGTGGAGCAGTCAGAGCTCTCGCAGTCAGACTCAGGGACATGGCAGTACTCACGGACAGGACAGGGACGCTCATTGTCCTTAAAACTCTCTTTCAGGCCCTTGGGGAACTGAAACCAATCCTTTAAAAAAAACAAAAAAACATGTATGACTTTATTTTGCTGTCATCTATGTCTTATACATTTCCTTAAAAAATGGCAGTATTTTGAGTTATTTCCAGCTGAATGAAAAAATGGTGGTGTCAGTACAAATCATTTTTTGGCAGCAGAGAGTTTTTGATGCTACTAACCTCGACATTAGGAGGTAAGGATGGCTTGGGGACCACAGGGATCAAGATGATTCTGATTCTGTATGGAAGGGAGGCACATGTTTATCAGATGATCATATTAACTACTATAGTCTACATCACACATACATTGAAAGTACATTACATTACCAAATGTGAATTTCATTGCTATCGTCACTTTCATCTACTGTTGCTTTAAAGCTCAAAAATATCATTTTTTTCAAGATCATCAAGTTATCCTCCCATGTTGCCTTTTTTTAAAGATATCTTTGGGCCAGAGAGTGCCTTTTATCTGAGATATAGAGTGAAAGGGGGCGACAGAGAGGAGGACATTGACTGTAATGTTTGGCCAGCACGGCTTAACAGGGCCGCCAGATCTTACCACTGTCAACCGGCCCTATCTTCACACATTTTAGGTAACAGGGTGAGTTGTTGATATACAAATGCTCAGCCCAAGTATTCCTTCAAACAATTCAAATTTTAACATTAAAATACTCACATTAGAAACAGTTCATGTAAATATTGTTGATGATAATATAACAATGAATGAAGGAGGAAATATGTACCCATTGCTGAAACTATATGTAAAACACTATAAATAAAACATGACCCACCTTTCATGGTGTAGCAACATCATGACCAGTAGGATGAGGATGAAAGCACCCAACCCATACATCACTGGAGTCCACACAGACATCAAGCTGTTCATGTGAGTGTCTGTGAGTTTGAGAAAGACAGGGGAAGATTGTTTCATTATACTGCACCTTTACTGTGTTGTTCACATGCAGAGCAACAGCTGCAGATAGTAGAAATCATCTTTGACGTTTAATCATGTCTGATTTGGTGAAAATGACACATGATTATAGAATTCAACGAGGAGTTTACCCTGTACTGATTTGAAGGGAATAAGTCAGGTTTGTATTGCCCTATTGCCTACACTGGCCATCTTATATTGTAAATGTGATGATTTTAATGGCCTAGAATATCTATTACTGGCCCCTCAACTACAGCTCTGGCTTTGAAAACGAATTTCCCAACCTAGGAAAAACGTGTTAAAAAGAAGGGTCTACAATCACTACAAATTATTGTAAATACAACATGTCAGTATTCATGAAAAATATGTTTATTCCTGTCATGCCCAGTATTCAGAATATTCTAAATGTTTATATTTGATAATAAATAAATCAAATCAAAGACAAATTAGGTGAATGTTTGGTCTTTTTATTTTGATTTTACTATTGGTTCTGTGCTTAAGACAGTTTATGGTTACCAGTAGCAGTGAGTGATTCCTTCATTCTTTCAGTACAGGCTACTGTAAGTGACTGGAAATAGGTCTAGAGACATTTGCAGTTTACCCGTGCTGTTGTTTTTGGAGCTCCAGAACACAGGCTCACTCCAGTCGCTCCAGAAAGAGTTTTGACTGCCTCCACAGGAGTAGTCCAATTTGCTCTGCACCTGCAGCTCATACAAGGCACTGGAGGGCAAGTTGATGCAGTAATTCTGAATCCCAGCCCTCACTGGATACGTCTGTGGACACAAAGATGGAGTTGATAAAGGAGACGGGTGGGGAAAAAACGAAAACGATTATGGAACAAAGGATCTTTCTTTAAAAATGCCTACCATCCACGCCTTGCTGTTGATCCTGTAGCGAACTTGACTCTCCACACAATGAGAAATCTGAGTCCAGTTGAGCCACAGGTTTGAGTCCAATCCATACTGGACAGTCACGTTGTAGGGAGGATTGAACTTGACTGGAGACAAAACAGACCATTCAAAGATACAGTACAATATGGCAACAAGGTAATGGGGCAAACATGAATCAAATATTTATTTTTTTTCTTTTTATTATTTTATGTCCAAATACTAGCATTTTCTTTAAAGAAAAAAGATACATTGAAGTTACAGTCGTGCTTCATTTTCAAATAATACTGCCTAAATAGTATCAGAGGATGAGCCCCAGTAAAAATGCTTACCTCTCTGTTTGAGAGCATGTTTCTTTTCATAACTGTCGTTTCCATGTACCAGTTTGGTGTAAAAGTTGTTGAACCTATCCTCGTTTTGTAAATAGGGCTGTTTGCATCCAGTGTTTATGCTGTTCTCTGAAAGATAGCTGGGGCACTCTCTGGGTGGTTTGTTGTTGAACCTGTAAATAAATCACTATTTATACATTATCACATACAAATCAATGGATGGTGCTGATGTTTTTGTCTATAACTGTACATTCAGAAACCAGTGCCTGTACAGCAGATCATAAATAAATTACAATGTCAACTTTTTATATTTTACGTTAGTCCAAGATTTCACTCTTCTTTAGAGATTGATACATTGAGATAACAAAAAGAAGGTGTTTGAGAGTGTCAGGGTCACCGTCAGTAATTACGAACCAGCTATAGAAGGTGTAATTGACCTCTGGAGTCCGGTTCTTATTCCAGGAACAGTGAATATATTTCAGATGCAACACTAAACAATCCACATCTGTCAGAGAAACAAGAAGGTTGAGATAAGTAGAACATAGATTAATGAAGATAATAAAGCAAAAACACAACAGCACACACACACACACACACACACACACACACACACACACACAACACACACAACACACACACACACACACACACACACACACACACACACACACACACACACACACACACACACACACACACACACACACACACACACACACACACACACACACACACACACACACACACACACACACACACACACACACACAGGAAATGGTGACAGAGCGTAATAGGGACTTTACAAAGAATACACTAAGTAAGGCTTTTACCGTTAACCACCAGGCTGTTTGATTAAGATTTGGTTAAAGGAGTTGATTATGTTAAATTATTATTAACATCTAACGGTAATCATATTTCAAGTCAGTTCTGCTGTCCTTGCCTTTTAATCTGGATTCTATTTTTAGAAAAAGTTATATAAAAAGACTAATATCTTTGTTTATATGTATTATTAACAAATACTTTATATATAAAAATGAATGAACAAGAAAAGTAGCTTCACTTCATGATAGTTGGAGGGAAACTTAGATTAGATCTGATAAAAGCCCTGATACACTCATTCAAATCTGGCTAAAACTGTTACAATTTCTTTCACAATTCAACTTAAAATGTAAAATATACATTTGAAATGTTCTTACCAGGCGGTTCTTTGGCAAACACATGTCCCGTCAGACAGAGAAACAGAAGCAGTCTCGTCGCCATCATGTCAAACAGAAACAGGATGCTCTCAGTCTCGATATTTGGCAAATGTTATTTCTGTGTCTGCTGTTTCTGATCTCTCTGTGTGGGTTTTGGTTCCTGTCACATGTTAGGTTACATATCAAGATATGCCTGTAGTTAGGCCTTCTGGTGTATGGCTGTATTTTAATATACCCCACCATTTTTAAAACATGCTTTAACTCATAGAGTGAAACTACACAATAGAGTTATTTGGTCAGTTTCATAATCTGTTTTTAATTTTCAAATGTTTTACTATTTTAAGTTATAAAAAATGTTTATACCTTTAGTCATTGCTGCATAAAGTCAACTTTATAAAGTCCACTGATAAAGTGAGGGAAACAACAGAGCATTGACATTTACATTTTTGTTTTGTTAAAGGTCTCCATAAAACCCCCCTTGCTTACAATTAGTATTTTCTATACCATTTTTTAGCAAACTGCATGCATTTGAATTTAGCTAAAAAAAGGTCATATTGCAACCAAAGAGGACAGACACATACAACTAGAACGTTTATAATAAGTGTAATTTGTAGTTCATTCTTACAATTTTCCAAGAGCTACAAAGTGTCTCGAATACATATTTGCTCTTCTGACAGGTTCCTCTCTACAAAACTGTACGGAAACATTGGTTATCCTTCTGCCCTGCAGTTTCAAGCATGTCAAGCGTGTCACATGTATCTTGTTTGTGACAGAGTCAAATCTAAATGTGCAACATTTTTTATTTATTCAAGTAAAACAGGTAACATTCACAATTCATCTGTGTATTACCATGACTGACTTTTAAAGAAGAATTAGAGCTAAAACATACTTTGTGCATGACAGGGTCACATGTCATCAGATATGTGTCACTTTCGGTGAGTGCTATCCCAAAATGCTGAGTTTTGTGTGTTCGGTTGCCTGTCAGAGGAAACTGTTACAGAAATGTTTTTTGAGAAAGTATACCTACATCAGTGTGCACAATAAACAGACACATTATTTTATCTTATTTATCTTATTAAAATAAATACATACTGATCTTAATAACCTGTAATACATGCACTCCATTTCTTAAACTAAATAACTGTTTAGTGGTGCAGGAAGACTCTTGGTTCGTTGATTGGACTTAACCTATACATTGATATATATTGAGTGTTATAGGTGTAACCATCAAATTAGTAGGCATGCTTATAGCTCATCAGTTTATCAATTAACAAATTAACAACAAAATATGACAACATCTTAAATAGCAAAATAATTGTGCTGAAATGTTACAAAGCAATAATTGCTGTCTGAACTGTAGTTTGTGCAGATTCAGAAAACTTGACCTGCGATATTTAACCAACTAGAAGTACATGTAGAGCCATGAGAATGATTATTTAATTTATGCAATCAAGAACAAGTAATCAACCCCAACATCTGTGACCAACTTCTGACTAGATTTGATATGTGACATCTTAGCAACAATCAGCTCATCACAGCTCGTTTCCTGAGAATTGAAGAGGGTGTATGCGTTGTCAAATTCCATGGTATTTTTGCTCTGTTTCTGTTCTCCTTTTGAAAAGAACATTTAAAGGCCTTTTTGCTTATCTTTGAATGGAACTCTCTGTGTTTTCATTCACAAGTTGTTAAAAAGCAAAGTATTCAGATATATCGACATGCTTTTTAAATACTTTTAGAAAAAAAAACTAACAACGCAACAATTGACATTGAATCAAAGGTCATTAAAAAGCATCATGGTGCTTGTATGATGGTGCATATACTTCTGTGGCAGAGTCAAGACCATCACAGCTGTATCCAAATGATTAGACCAGAATTCAAGTTTGAAATCAATACAAAGTTTAAAATCAATACAAAGACCAGTATGGTAAGCAAGTATTAGAGAAGCATCAACAAATGTGGATGACAAAATGCTTCACTTCAGTTGGTGATGATGATTAACACATTGTATTACTGCACCCTTTAAATGTTAACGTAAAAAAGATATAAGACACCAGATAATTTTGTCACTATCATGGTACTGAATTTTCTTTCAGGCTATGATGGTTATAGGACTATTAACCATATTTACATTTTTACTGTTTGTCAATGTGTTTGTTAGGTTCGTTGTAATGCATTTCATATTACAATGTTGGTGCGCATGTCATGATAACCATATTCTCTGCATGATGACAACAAAAGTCGACCTTCAAACACCATGCGAGGTCGCTGTTATTCTCAGGACTGATTCTGGTCATAAGCGGACTTTTATTTTGAAGGACCGGAAGTCCTAGTGTTTTGATAAAGGTTGCGGAAGAAGCTGTCATTTCGTGGTTATTATCCTGATATTATCTCGTCCAAGCAGTATTTCCCATTAAACTGATACTAATTCAACGACAGATGTGACCGTTTTCACAGAGCTCAACAATGGGATTTACACCGGGACTCTTTCTTGGTGTTAGACCGTCGAAAACGCTTGTGTTTCTGCCTTTTTTGTTGACATTATTGCTCGTTGGAAGCCAAGGCGATAATAATGCGATGGATAACGTCTCAACCGAGAGGCTGGCTGAGGAAAGCCACCGACAAGACAGTGCCAATCTACTTATATTCATAATGCTCTTAACACTCACCATCTTAACGATATGGCTGTTCAAACACCGGCGATTCAGGTTCCTGCACGAAACAGGACTGGCCATGATCTATGGTAAGAGCACTGACGATGGTGCTTTGGTGTAAAGTAACTGAGTAGGCTACATTTACTCAACTCAAGTTACTCAACAACCTAACTACACATTTGAGATACTTGTACTTTTCAACTTTATGTACTTTGTACTTTTACTCCGCTATAATTCAGAGGTAAATCGTGTGCTTTTACTCCACTACATTTATTTAGTAGCTTTAGTTACTTTGCAGGTTTAGTTTAATGATGTGAAATATAATCAACCCCAATAAAATACTTCAGTGACACCTGGAGTAAATTCACAAGTAACCCTGCAGTATACAAAGGAATTACAACTAGCTGCACCGTTACCAACTTGATTAATTCATTAATGCATCAATAATTATAATCAAAACATATACACTATTCTGAAATGGTCCAATCTGCATAATGAGTGCTTTTACTTGTGGTACTTTAAGTATATTCTGATGCTAATACTTTTGTACTTTTACTTGAATGCAGGACTTTTACTTGTAATTGAGTATTCCTACACTCTGGTACTTCTACTTTTACTCAAGTACAATATCTGAGTACTTATCCCACCTCTGATGGTATGAGCACTTAGTTGATGCCTTTCAGTTAACTTGGCTCCAATGCTAGCTGGCTATGATGGTGTTAGCTCCTCCAACTTAGCCAGTAAGCTAATATGACAGCTTTTACTCAGGTTTCAAGGGAGGATGCCAGTGCCTACGATATGGGATATACCATTGTTAGCAGGGTGTTCATATTCAAAAGTATAACTTTTTATCCAGTGTCATATGCACAGCCCATTTTAATGTCTATATTAAATAGCAGAGGTGAAATAAGTACTCGGATCTTGTACTTAAGTAAAAGTAAAGGTGGTAAAGGTGCGGCTAATTTGAATGACTTTGTATGTAGGTGCTGTAGGGTAGCTGGAGAATTTTTCTCCATGTTTAAATAAAGTCTTACTAAAGTGTTATATTTTACATCATTAAACTAAATCTGCTAAGTAACTAAAGGTACTAAATAAATATAGTGGAGTAAAAGTCCCTCAAAATTGACTTGAGTAGATCTACATACTTTACACCACTGGGTTTCACGGTACAAAGGAGGCTCCCTGCTAAATGTGATATAGGCTACCATAGTTAGTAGGGTGTTGGTATTCAAAAGTATTATTATTTATCCATTATGATATTCACTGTCCATATTAAAGTCAATATTACATAGTTAGGCTTCTTTTCCTATTGTAACTGTAAAAAAATAATATATAAAGAATATTATAACTATTTATCATTTACTAAAGATACCTTAACTGCTTTCCCCTCACCCACTTTCTCCTCCCTCCTGAAGGCGTGTTGGTGGGTGTGATCCTGCGTTTTGGAGTCCATGTCCCCGCGAGCATGAGTGATGTGATCCTCAACTGCGCCGTCAACGCCAGTCCCTCTACACTTCTGGTCAACGTCAGTGGGCGATTCTACGAGTACACGCTAAAGGGGGAAGTCAGCCGGGGCAAAGGTCACCAAGTACAGGACGACGAGATGCTGAGAAAGGCAAGAGGATGAACAGATGAATGGTTCAAGTGGAGCTTGTTGTTGGTGTGCCGCTCTCAAATGAAATCACCAGCAGGCGGTTGCCAAATGGCAGAAGTATATGTTTTATCGTGTAAAAAAACAAACAACCTGCAAACGGCAAACCTGATATATCAAACATAATCTGTCAACAATACAAATAGAACATTAAATGATGTTAACTTGTGTCAGTCTGAATATACAAGCATATATTATGGGTCCGGTTTAACACATAGGGAGTTGACTATTTAAAATGAGTGTCTAACCTGTTATATCTTACCTCTGTCTTTAGGTGACCTTTGACCCAGAAGTGTTTTTCAACATTTTGCTGCCTCCCATTATCTTCCATGCTGGTTACAGTCTCAAAAGGGTAAGAGGGTTTAAACTACTTAGCATGTCAATTAAGTATTCAGATTTTTCAAAGTCTACATTGGATCTTTCGCATACACGTTTCAAACAGGCTAAACTACTTTTTGTTGATTATTCTGATATTTTTTTGTCTGTAATCCTAACTTTTAGTCCGAGAAAGCCTCTGTGTTAACAAATCTGTGTCCTTGCCTATCTCAGAGACATTTCTTTAGAAACATCGGCTCCATCCTGGCCTATGCTTTCATCGGAACAGTTATCTCCTGCTTTGTTATTGGGTAAGTTATTTGTTTATCTCTGATGTACACTAGGGCTGAACAATACATCTTATTGACATTGCAATGCACTTTAATGGAAGCTACACGTTAAATAATCTAAAAAAACAAGTTTCCATGTCTTGCTTCCAAACTGCTGGGTGCATACTGAACTGCAATCGCAATATTGGAAAAGAAACACAAAATTAAGATTATTTTCACATACATTATCCTTCATCCCTACTACTCTCAGACTTAAATGCTGTACGTACGCTGTTGATCAAATATTTTTCTCCGTTCTTAGGCTGATCATGTATGGCATTGTGTCCTTCATGAAAGTTGTGGGCCAGCTTGGAGGAGATTTTTTCTTTACCGACTGCCTCCTGTTTGGGGCCATCGTTTCAGCAACAGACCCAGGTAATTAGTGCCATGTTAGCTTTTAGCAACTATTTATCCAAAGACTGTACTAAGAATGTAATTTAATGAAGCAGTGCGACATCTTATCGATTTTTTCTTTGCTCCTGTCCTCCTGCTGTACAGTATTTACGTGTCTTTTTCTCCTCTGTGTCTCAGTGACAGTGCTGGCTATCTTCAATGAGCTAAAAGTAGATGTGGACCTGTATGCTTTACTCTTTGGGGAGAGTGTCCTCAATGATGCTGTGGCCATCGTCCTCTCTTCGTAAGCACCAATTAATTAACAAACTGCAGATATGAACACACACAGCCTACACAGCAACACTTTATGTCCACTTCTATTTCATCAAAGCATTGGTAGTGTCATGTTAAAGGATAGGTTAACATTTGTGCAAGTCTATCTCGAACAGTATATATTTAAAGAGTTATTAGTGGCCTTCTCACCAGTTCATTCTCTACTACCTAACTGGCTCACAAGTAGTGATTGGGGATAACATCAACAGCTTTTTGTTGTGCAGTTAAAGCTCATGTGATGTTCCAACAGTCTGAGGTCAATAAATCTGAAGTGTCTTTTTTCAAAGTGGCTTACTTTGTGATGCTAAATTTAGCAGTTCGTAGTTCGAAGAGCAGCTAAACATCGCCATATATGCTCTCTTGAACAGAGCGTAGTGCTTGTGTCTGTTTCTTTCTGACAGCGCAAAAAGGAAATGGGGAGACCCTGTGCTGATGGCAGAAGAGCCGAGTACCGTTATTACTCCAGCAGCATTGGTAATAAATACAATGCTGTAAATTTGTCGCAAGTAATTCGCTCTTAGGTAAATTAAAAGGGATCCGGTTGTATCCTTTGCCATCAATTATACCATGTGGAACGCTATGGGGGGAAATGTTTTCTGTTGCCTCTTGAAATAAGAATTGGATTATACAGGAACGTTTTTTATGGCCACTATGTACAAGAGTAATAAATGGTCATAAATGTTAGTATTTCTTCGAGAGACTTCAAAGAAATGTGAACCTATCCTTCATATTCTAGTTGTGGTACTGCCCTGCACTGTAATGAGGCTAACTGTGTCAAACTCAGCTTTTTGTGTGGTACATTTCACATTGATGGACTCTAATCATACTAACGTCAGTCCCTGTCGTTTCACTGCTTGCCTTCCTTCATTCCATCCGTGTCGTTCGTGGCCTACCTGTACGTATGTATGCAGAGTTCTCCTCAGCTTGGACAGGCAGAGTAGGCATGGGGCCGGGGGGGTGCGCTCCCCAGGAGACAATGACTCTGTCTGGCCTCAAGGGGACGATCAATGGCTGGAAGAAAACCAGACATTGACTCTTCGGTGGGTGGGGGGGGGGGCTGTTTATGTGGCTGTGCTGGAAGAGTTATAGTTGTAGAGCCTGGTCATCTTAACTAAGACTATGTTATGCAGATCTTTGACTAAAGTATGTAGCCTTATTGCTCTCCTCCCCTGCTTCCCTTTCATATCCATTATTTGCATCCTTTTTCTGTATTGTCTGTGCTCTATAGACCCTACTTTTATTTATATTTCTGGTCATTTCGTATGTAAAAGGTTTATTACTCCTGGTTCTTAGTGCTATTGATTTGGTTTGTTGGTCTTGAAGCTATTTGAGCACTACTACTCATAAAAGGGTAGCACCTGAATGATCTGTTTTCTACTTATTGATACTCTATATTGGATATCAATGGAATGGTGTTAAGATGCAGCACGATCCAATAAGAATTAAGCATGCAAGACCCCAACTTACTCCCTTTTTATGTCTGTAAAACCCAACTCCAGTCCATGTGTGTGAAGTTTAGTTTTGTTATTTTAAAATCCTCTAAATGATACAACACATCAGATAAACAGCGGGCTTGTGGTTTCAGCCATTATTGGATTTGGGTTGCTGCAGATTTGATTTGATGCCTTACTTCATCTTGAGTTCATCCGTTTGTTTCTCTATTAGAGCATGTGAGTAATATTTCATCAGATCCCCTTTTGGGATTCTTAGGAAACGTCTATTTCCCTTTTCCATGTAAATGTCTTAACTCTCTTTCTGCCCTTCAGCTCTATTGTGGCGTATCAGCCTGCAGGAGACAACAACCACAGCTTTGAGGCCATGGCCATGTTAAAATCCTTCGGCGTCTTCCTGGGAATCTTTAGCGGATCCTTTGCTCTTGGGGTGGCCACCGGATTCATGACCGCTCTCATATCCTTTCACCTGCTATCACATCATGAACATTTACAGTTAGTGGTATGCATAAGCAGCTACAGAATAAAACTACAGCAGGCATCACTAACTGGTGGACAGAAATCTGAATCTTTACAAGATTCTGTTTTGTTTTGTTTTACCTGCAATGTAGATTTATATTATGCTAGGTCTAATTTATGGTAAAGATTTGAAATGATTCTAAATGTTAACTATGCTACACTTACAATTGACAATATGTTAATGTTGTTTGATTTTATTTGACAAAGGGGTACACAATTAAGACTTTATGAGATTCGGACATTGCTGGAAATAAAGTTAAGTAACTGGACCTCATTACATTTAAATTGAATTCCGCAGCACTACAGGGATGAAGAGTTTCATTGTAACTCATTAAGTTCCTGCTGATCAGCTTCAAGTTATAATCAACTTGGAACCAGAAATGTTTTAGTGTCAGTCCCTATACGAGTAGCCTAAATTGTGTACTTGCACGTTCGGATAAAAAAGGTTTATACAAACAATGTCTTTATTACCTTGTTTCCATTTATATACAGCAGGGCCACTTTGGCTGTGCCCCCTCTTGTTTTGCTCCTTGACTTTAAGGTTTGCTCACGTGACCAAGTTCACTAAGCTGCGGGACTTCCCCTTGCTGGAGACGGCGCTCTTCTTCCTCATGTCCTGGAGCACCTTCCTATTGGCTGAGGCCTGCGGGTTCACAGGTACACCTGCACACAGCAGCACACATGCAATATACACTGCTTCTCATTTTGATCATAAGTCTTGGACTAAGTTTCAGTCTTAATTTAGTCCAAAATGAATCTCTATCACATATTGAAAGTGACCTTTTCAGCCAGTACGCATACGCCTAAAACATTTTCTTATCTTAGGAGTTACAACTGTCACATTAAAACAATGAAGCCATGATTGATCAAGTAATAAAGGATGAATCATTCACACCTGCTCAAATAAAATCATCAAACAAACTGATACACACACTCAAGCCACATGATGTCAAAAGACAGGGTTATGTTTGACGTAGACTGCACCCTTTTTTACATTACAGTTTCATTTTAAGAAACGTCCATTACATTTGACCATAGCAACTTCCGTCAGATGTATTTTAATGTTCTTAGAAACTAATTTTGCCACATCCTGAAATGAATGATGGTTTTTAATTCTTGTCCTCTGGTAAAGTATAATTCAATGTGTTGGATTGATACTGAAGTGAGACCACTCTATGTCTGCTGTTCATCAGGCGTAGTGGCTGTGCTGTTCTGTGGGATCACTCAGGCTCACTACACCTTCAACAATCTCTCCCCCGACTCTCAGGACAGGACCAAACAGGTGATGCACAACCACATGTCTTTGGTCACTTTCACTCAATTTATTTAGATACAAATCCTACTTGAATACTAGTTACTTCTGTTTTTAAGTCCTAGAATTAGGATAATCACCCATGTAACGTAGTAACTCCATATGTTACACATTTTCTCTGCAACAGTCACTTTCCCTTACATCCAAAATATCATGAATGTAATGTTCTTTTTACATTGTTAAAATGTTTGCTTGTCTCTTCCCCATCAGTTGTTTGAGCTGCTGAACTTCCTGGCAGAGAACTTCATCTTCTCCTACATGGGCCTGACTCTCTTCTCCTTCCAGTCACACATCTTTAACCCTATGTTCATCATCGGAGCCTTTGTATCCTTTACTCTGAATATTGTTACTGCTGTCCTCAGATGATTGGTTATTTAGCCAAATACGTGTTGCATATAACCACTCTTTGGCTGCCAAAACTATTGCTACCACTGCTGAAATAATTAAGTGTTTTAGGAAGCCCACGGATAGCAGCAACATTTAAAAGAAAGATTAGTCATTGCTGACATAGAATTTCCGTAATGTCATCTACCCACGAGTATTTTCCATCTCAGTTTGTTGTGGCCTTGACCTTCCTGTGTCGTGTAGTTTGCTGTGTTTTTGGGCAGGGCGGCAAACATCTACCCTTTGTCCTTCCTGCTCAACCTGGGCCGCAAGAACAAGATTAAATCCAACTTCCAGCATGTCATGATGTTTGCAGGTACGGACTTAAGTCTCTGTTGTCAATTCCCAGCTCTCCAATGAGCCATTTTAACTTCCTCAGGCTTGCTCGAAAAATGAATACACTGCTTACCCTAGATACAGTAGTTATGAATAACAGCCCCTACGTAGGTTGATATTGACAGTTAAAACTGGCTAAAATGAGAACATCGCTTCCATGTCTCTGCACATAGTTGTTTGGACACCACCAGCCCGGATGGGTTGATAAAAACCCCTGAATCAGCATACTGTGGAGGATGAGCTCATCAAAAGTGGTTAGGAAAAGAAGAACCCAAGAACAGCCACATTAATAAACATATTTTCTGGCTTTTCTAAAATGAATGACAGAACCCACTGAAGGTGTCTCCCACGGTGTCTTTGGGTGAAACTCACACTGTTACTCACTCTCACGGGTTCTTGTTATCTTATCTCCATCAGGTCTGCGTGGGGCAATGACCTTTGCTCTTTCAATCCGAGACACAGCGACTTACGCCCGCCAGATGATGTTTTCTACCACCCTGCTGATTGTCTTCTTCACTGTGTGGATCTGTGGGGGGGGCACCACGCCCATGCTGTCCCTCATGAGCATACCGTAAGGCTGTGCATTTGTTTCTCTCTCGTCCCTCTATCAAATGTTTTTCAGCAAAAGTCAATGCCACAATGTTTTCTCTTTCAGGGTGGGTGTGGACTCTGATCAAGAGAACTCTGTAAGTGATGAGCACAGACAGCATGATACTCCTTTTTGTATGTTTAAATGTTTTAGTTGTTATCCCAAGTGAAATTGCCACTAATTAAATGTTTTGCTAAACAGAGCTCAGCGGTGTTGGATGGGACACAACGGAGCACTAAACATGAGAGTGCCTGGCCCTTCAGGATCTGGTATAACTTCGACCACAAGTATCCTTTGAGCCATGGATCATACGTGTATAATGTATAAAATATCCTGTTTTCAGTAGAGTGGAAACTACATTCAGCTTTAAACACCAGAGGGCGCTCTTTACAAGCTGTAAGCTATATAACTTCCTTTTATAGATAATGTTCTGCGAGTTGACCAAATTCATTTTAATAATGAAACTTTAAAACTGTAAATAGTCCTTGACAGCTTGTTCTCCAGCTACCTAAAGCCCCTCCTGACCCACAGCGGCCCCCCCCTCTCTTCCACTCTGCCTGCTTGTTGTGGACCGCTGGCCCGATGCCTCACCAGCCCGCAGGCCTATGAGGTTTGGACACTCAGCATATTGTTTTGCAGAACCCAATCAGTCATTTTTTGAACATCTGAAATAGGGCAGGGTAATAAATCAATACGGTGATATAAGACTTTGTATTTCTGAGATTTTAGATAATGGAATTTGCCATACAGTAAGTGTCAATGATGCAATTGTTGCCTTTACACCACAGTAGTTATATATCCACATACTATTAATCTAGAAATGTTATGTTAATGCTGTTGTGTTGATATTTTGCAAATGCCCCCAATGGGAAACCCTACATTATTGGCGAAATATGGAGGTATTTGGTCAAAATAAATCAGAATTTCTTCTTTTTTTTTTACATGTTATAGAACAATAACTACATTTGAAAATCAATAAATCAAGCTAGTTTATGTATCTAAAGATCTTATTAGGAGTCTTTTGACGTCATAAACTTGGGTGTTGATATTTGGTGGAAGGGGCTCCCAGTCTGTGACTATTCAGATTTTGCTTTTCTTTAAAGAAGCAGTTTGTCCACTTCTCTCCTTCTCCTGTCCTGTGATGGTATTCTACAGTCTTTGTCTTTTCATTCTGCTTCATTTCTTACCCTCCCACGTTTACCCATTGTTCACTCACCAGAACGAGTACCGGCTCCACGAGGATGACTCGGACTTCATCCTGAACGACTCCAGTGTCAGCTCCATTTACGCCGACGTCACCGTCAGCACGGACGCTTCTGGGTCCCGCACCACCAGCAGGGGGGGGCGGCGGGCTGAGGGTCTGGAGCACGAGCTGGGCTCAGCGGAACATGAAGTGGCGATCAGGGGCACCCGCCTGGTCCTGCCCATGGACGACCCAGTGGAGCCCCCGACCACCTTCACCCTGCCCCCACCGCCTTCACCGCCACGCTCCGAGCCTCGCAGGCATAGACTGTAAGAAAGCGTACGCTGTCAGGATGCAGTTTGTTGTTTTAAGCATTACAAAAAAAAATCACAAATCTTCTAATTTGAATTCAAAAGGAAATGATTTGTTTGGATTTTTGATTGAAAACCAAACAGCTTTTAGAGTACGAGTCACATAAAAGTCGCCATATTGATGGGACCACCTCTCTAACGTGGATTTAAAATAGGCTCAGCTTTGTGACAAACATGAAGTGCGCTTTATTCAACTTGCTATTTAGGTGGATTCCTGTAATATTGAAAGTGAGCGTACTCTGTCGAGGTAAGGTACTGTCAATCAAGTGCACCTCAAACCTAAGGGTTACTTAAAATAATGCGGGACGCACATTTGGCTTGCATTAAGGAAAGCTTAAAAAATGGGGCTGTAGTGTTGGCTCATGCAAGTGCTATTTCTATAATCCATTAAAGTCCCTCCGGCTTTATGGAGGGACTTTAATATGCAGTTTACCCTTCTCTCTGTGGTGAAGTTGCTCCTGACTACAGGACCTGTATTTGTTAAGCTTCCCTTCAAGTATTGGTACGATGACCTACAGCATCATTTAGTGCACAGAACTCTAAAACGTTACTCTGGTACCAATAATGAGAAAACATTTTACACTGCAGCCACATTATTAATATTATCCATCCATCCACAGACTGTACGTTTATCGAGTGTGTTTTCCTCCTGCTCAAAGGTCCCAGGTGGAGAAGGCTTAAGAACAAGTAGACTAAGACATCTGTGGTGGAAGCAGTATTAGAAGTTTTTTAAAGAGATTTTAAAATGAACAAATATGTTCTAAAAGATTGAAAGTAGATATAATTCAGCCAAGCCATAAAATCCAACTTAAATTTTAGCACTGCCGAATCAGTCTTTTCCCCCGTATTTATTTATAATTAAAAAAAAGAGTTATTTATTTAACGATTTCTTTTGTTTATTTATTGTTTATTTATTGTTTTCGGGGTGACATTAATGATTATCTTGCCTTGTTTGAACATCGGGCTGCTTGTGGTGAAAGGCTGTTATCATGCACATTTTCGGAACAAAACACTACATAATTGTACGGCAGATAAGTCTTGAGGCTGGTGGATCATCATTTGAAGAGTTTGATCTTTACCAAGTGTGCATGTTATTATATCTCCTTCCTGCGCTGTAGCAGATATTTTACTTTATATTTGGAAACTAGAGCTTCCCTGTGTGCATATTTTAAGTGTGTGTGGGGCTGATGTCAGAATGAAATTGTCCAAATCTACTGACGCTGGTTTTAGGGCTTTTGTCTGTTTCTGGGTTATGTCTGGTTTAATCTTTCTTAGAAAAAGTAACTGCCGTGTCTTGATGACTTTGAGGGCTGGCTGAACTGTTTTGACTTAAAGTGCCTATTCTGGAATTCTATTACATAATGTAGATTTGTACATATTTTGATTTACTAATGTGCAGTAAGATTATCTTTCTTGTTTTTTATATGACACAAAAAACCTATGACTAATGCTTAATATTATATTCCCAGTATAATTAGGCCAGGCCTCTAGGGTGGCGATCACAAAAGAGTGCAAACTAAAACATTGTACTTTGTTAACGGGAAACAAGTATCACTAATATTTTCTCAGACGGAATCACTTTTTGTAAAGTATACTTTATGTGGCATTTGAGAATGACACTATTGGGGGCTGAATTTCAACGCAACAAGAACCTGGTGACCTCTTTTTATTTTGTAGAAGGTCTAGGAAAAGATACGACTATTGATATTGGTGTTCAGTCTTTTCACTCCTTGTTTGGCAACTGATATCCTATAATATGTTCCCACCTCAGTGAGATAACTTGCACTGAGGCATCTCCTTGTTTGTTTTGTTTGCTGTTTGGTGATTTTTATGATTGAAGTAGAAATGTATTCCTGCTAAAAATCCCATGTTCAAATGTTTGAAACTGTCAAGCTGCACGAGTTGTCTTTTTGATCTGTAAGCGTTGTTCTGGGGTTTGAGAGATAAGGACAAGCGAACTCACCATTTGTTCCTTTCAGTAAGGTACCTTTTGATTTTCATTTGTTGTTTAACTGTAATTAAACCATAACAAAAACATATGTTTATATGGGAATTTTTAAGAAACGTCTATAATCGTAAAATAACAACTACACCTGAAAATCTGAACATGTCTATGTTTCTACTGTTTGTAGGAAGTGTTACTGACAATTGTATTTGTGAAAAGTACACCTGCAAAAGTTCAATATGTGAATGTTTTAAAATGTGAACTCATTATGAGGGGAAAACAATCAAAGATATATTATATTGTTCCCTGTGTGGTCCTGAAGTTTTAACATCGTCGCAGTCAGACATCTTGCAAGTGTACTAGAAAATAAAAAAAATGTTGAAAATAACATGTCTTTGCTCTTTCAAATTATGCAATGACTTGTATTGTTCAATGTCATTGAGCTACCTAAAGTTGAGTTAATCTCAGTTGTATTAGTTTAATCTCTTCAAAGATTTTTTCAGAATGACTCTTTATATTGATACTCAAGTACAATTGTCTTATTTGACTAGTTAAGCTGAAGAGACAATTGATCAAACCCCATCCGCTGATGAAGACTAAGATACATTTATAGTACAGGAAAAGTTTAGCAAGTGGACATTGAGTTAATATTGTTTTTCCAAGGTCAAAGACTCTCCGCTCCGTTTGTCTACTTTATTTCAGTTATGCTGAAAAACGATTATGCATAGGTGCCCGCTTTGAGTTTTCTTTGGTGGAAAGAGTGGGCTTGTTATAGCACACATCTGCATTTTTTTTTTTTTTACGTTTAAACCACATTTCTTAAAATGTAATATTTAGACCTTGGACATATTCCCATGTGCCCAAAGACTAGATATAGCATTGTGAGAACGTTGCTGTATTAGAGATTTCAAGGACCATAATCAAGTATTTGTAATGAACTAATAAGCTACATTTCAAAGATATGCTCAGATATGCAGTTTAGAAAAAAAGAACGTATGGCAGACGGTACAGATGTTCCTTATGTTCCTGACTTTTACCACCGATTGATAAAAGGTCAATCGCATTTCCAACATTTTTATTTTGTATTTATAAACTGAAATGACCTGTGATGGTTGTTCATTGATAACATATCATTAATTGTAATAACTGAAAAATAATATTGACAAATAATAATAATGATATTAAAGGAAATGTAATAAAGGTCATGCGTTAATAGCTAATACTTGTAATTGTGAACTTGAATATTGTTGTCAAAGATTCAACGCACCAAATTATCCCATATGTCCATATTAATCTTAAAACCCTTATATATTACAGTCATGGCCAATCAGAACACAGGTTTTTGCATTTTTGCTTATGCTAAATAAAGTCTTTGGGCACAAGTTCATTAAATATGTGAGTGAACATAACCTCAACCTTTATTTTGAAAATGTATTCACTCCGCTAGAACATCGTAGATACTTTTATTTTGAAGGTACAACCTGTTATTTCCGGTCTGAGTGCGCGGGTGCTTGTGTCGCGCTTGACGCAGATGGCAGTACTTAAAAACGTGTGAGGGTCTCGTTGAAGCGTCCCACTCGTCCCACTGTCTGCTTCCAGAGCCCCGCAGTCATCACCCTGAACCCGGTAAGCTGGCTGATAAGCACCGCTGTTACTTTTTTACTGTACACTGTCTAAATGTACTTTCTTTTTTAAACTTGTTTTTACAGAAATAACTTCATGCGGAACTGTTTAGTAATTTGCACGCGCAGGTTTTATTACGCTTGATGAAACTGTTGCACTAGTCTCACTTATATATTCTATTAGCCCACTGTAAATATGTGACCATTGATTGTAATCACCTTTACAGTATGTCCAACTAACACATGTACAGTCAGGACTCAGTAGCATGCAACTCTCTTCCTCTGTCACACATCTTGTCATTTCAATACACATTACACTTGCAAAGCAGCGTTTTGATATCCGGAGAGGGAACAAGTCTTAAAGTCTGTCTGGGGCGTTGGCTGTCTCTGTACATGTGTATGTGTGTGTGAGAGCTACAGTTACATGCTGACTTATGGAAGCCTTGGCTGCTCCTGAAATCTGTTTCCAGTTAGGAATTCTCCTTTTTTTCACCCAGTGATGGAACCGCTGAGGCTAAAAAATGCATCACAGAGGTCAATTAAAATTCCTGTACTGCTATTTTCATTGTCCTGTATGTGTGTGCGTTTATATCATGGTTTATATACATGTAAGTGATGCATATGGCTCCAGTGTTGGTTCCACCAGTTATCATTATATTGCAAGTTCAGGATCCAGATGTGCAACTGAACTCTTTCTCCCTTTCATGCAGGGAGTTACAGAGCAGATTATGCAACATAACCTTTAAAAAATAGGAAGAAAAACCTGCTTATTCATAGATTTATATAAAAAAATAATGCATCTGTTGGATTGAAAAAACAAGACTGAAGGAGGAAGGAGAGATGTTCCTCTAACTTTACAGAAGGAAACCTCATGTCACAGATGTTGCAACTGAAGTACACTTTTTTTTAATGTATTGGCGACTAAATGTTGCTGATTCCTACTGTGATTTGGAGGTACTTGCCTTACAGTACAGTCATTTTGAACAGCATGCGCAAAAACAAACTCAGACAGTAAGTAAGCCAGGAACCATATGTGGGACTGACCTTTGCTGCCTCACACACTCACAGACACACACACTCAGACACTCAGACGAAAGCCATAGGGAGTTTTTACTGATTCAAAGCTGGTGCCTGCATGTTAAAGAAATTACCATGAGCTCAGTCCCATAAAATACATCACTGGCTCGTAAAACTTTATGCATTTGTCTGAATTTATGTCATAGGAACTCCCTGTTGTGTTTTGCCTGTTGTGACTTTAATAAGATAGAATGTAAATGGAATTCAGACATTTTTTTTTTTTTTTTTTTTAAATCGATCCCCAACATTTTTTAGTAGAGTTTTGAATTGATTTCTGCAGTTTTAATAATCTGACAAACTGACAACATGATGGTGAAG